AGAGCATGCAGCATTTTGTATCTCTGAAGACTTACAGGTTTGCTAAAACTCTTAAAACTCAATCAACCTGTTACGACTTTCTCGAAGCAGAACCCAATCCGGTCTCCCTCCCTATATCGGCCTGTTTTGAAAACGCGCATAGCACGGTGCACATAACCATGCCACCGTTCAATCGAAATGGATTGACTGGAGCTGTAGATCAAGATCACAATTAAAGATCCGGCTGAAAACTTCATTTGCCTTTTCATCTTCCAACTTGAAGATGTCCTATTTACTAGTTACCTCACTCATTTCGCCGTGGGTACTACTGACCAATGCGGCGGCTCTACTTGTTCACTTTTTTGGGGAAAGGCTTTTCACACAGCAGAGGGCAGGAGTGAATAGATAATGGATCTACTCAGTTGAGGCTGGAGAAGAAAAGCCTTGGCACTCTGCCAAAAAGGTTCTGACCCTTCATTCCAGCCCATGAATTACGCTGAAGCTGATATCGAGAGGGTGTGCTGGAACTGATGTATCTCTTTGACTAGCTACCTCAGTTTACACCATAACCAGATATTCATCCAAATCTGCGATGTCACTAATAAAAATACGAGAAATGAGCTGCCCGCTAGGCCTTTTGCAAATGTTTTTACAGTTTACGATAAAAAAGTGTGGGCTTTAAGTTGTTAAATAGCTAAAATAATCTCTAAGAAGCTCATCCTTGCAAAATGGAGCTAATTGGGTGACTTCGTCGCAATTTTTCCTTCATCAAAAACTTGTGTGTAGTGATAATGGTGTTGTATATGCTATCGATTTTTCAGCTCGTCGTCTGGACGGCCATATCAGCGATAGCAAACTTGCACGGCCGTTTCGGCGTGGAAATCGTCGGTGAAGTTCCCATTGGGTGAGTTCCCGGCTTCTGCTCCGATTTAAATAAATTAAATAATATTCATAGCTGGGTGAAATAAATTTGCAGACTACCACCACCACGAGTGCCACTATTTGAGGGAGTATTGATAAAGAAATTGATAGTTCCGGCAATCAGTATTGCTGTTGTGGCTTATGCCGTCACCGTGTCTATGGGAAAATTGTTTGCTCGAAAACACAAATATCGTATCGACCCAGATCAGGTAAAACTTCGATTCTGTATGCAAAGTTACTGGTTGCTCAATATTATTACGCAGTAGGCCTGAGTTTACAAGTCAGGTATGTATGGAGGCATTATAATTTTGGCGCGATTCGATCTTGAAGCAGTAGTGCAGGGTGCGTGGGCGGGTCTTCCTATACAGGACAGCCCCGCCCACACACTCAGCACCTTTCTCCTTTTATATATCTTTGTCTTTGATATTTTCTCTCAACATACTCAATTATTTTAATTAATTTGACCATTTTGCTACAAACAATTATATATGCAATCAGGAGATCTTCGCGCTTGGAATTTCTGGTACTATCTCGTCGTTTTTCTCGGTGTTTCCCACTTCCACCTCATTATCAAGAAGTCTCGTTAATGAAGGAGCCGGTGCCCGAACGCAGGTAAGAAAATTGTCGTAAGTGATGGTTAGAAAGGATGGGAGACCAGACGAGAAGGAGAGGGGAGCAAATTCAATCCTTTTTCCTCCCCTTTCCCTCGTCCTCGGGGAGCAGTACTTAAAAGGGTAAAGGACCTATTTAGGGGTACCCGCATCATGAAAAGCTTGCTAAGTTAGTTTCTACTTTGGGGGACGTGATGATGATTGGGCAGATACTACTACTATTTTTTTCTTTTACACGAATTTTGACGGTCTTCAATGTTTGGCATTCATGTTCGTGAATGCTAAGAGCAACCATTTTGGTTCTGTGGTTACTTGACATTTAGGAAAATGTTTTACTGAAGTAATCGACTATGTCCCCTTTTAAGGTCTCTGGACTGGTAGCATCATGTGTTATTCTGTGTGTAATACTGTTAATCGCTCCACTACTGAACAGCCTACCGATGTGCGTGCTGAACTCCATCGTCGTCGTGGCGTTGTCTTCGCTGCTGACCAAAGTCACAGAATTGCGATATCTCTGGCGATTCTCCAAGCCGGACGTGGTCAGTCATTTCATCTTCAGTATAAATTGGAATATTCCCCAGAACAGCCAATGCAATCAAACCCAAGGTTTTAACGACAACGTGGGTCAGCACATGCTACCGCCGCGCCCAAGGTGGGTCATCGTGCGAGCGGTGGCCTATTTTCCGGCGAGACAACAATGATGGCACAAGCTTTCCTATATCCAATAAGAGAGTATAGATTATTATCAACGTTCACAATGTCTTTTTGAAAGCTATCAACCAGTGCTAAACGTTCTAGAAACTTCTACGACCTTCCGAATCCTCATTCATTTCAGATTGTTTGGGTTTCTACTGCTCTGGTCACTATTTTCTGGGACATCATCGAAGGACTCGCTACTGGAATGGTGCTTGCACTGATCTCAGTTGTTGTTCACACACAAAGGTCAGTTTTTATGTGTTACACAGCGTTACCTGTTATTTGATTGTTTCTGGAATTTTCGCAGCAGAACAGTCTGAATTCGATCAAAACAGTTCACTTCTTCAACCATATGGCGTTTCCTAGGTTTACACTGGACGGTAATTTATGTATTAGCATGAAACATATCTTTTGTCAGATAAATATGGGTCCACACCCACCACTTGCTTGAGGGACTCAGTTAGTTGAGATGGGTCCTCTCCCCTTTTGGGGAGACGGGCAGCAGGATCGGTTCTGTGGGATCGATTCGCCGCACGCGGCCTGTCGCGGTCCATTCGCTTCGCTGTTATTAAAGCTAAGCGCTCTTGATACAGCTCAATCGATATGCGATCACTATTTTAGGCATGATTCTACTAATGGTTCTTTTGTTTCTGTATTCCTTACCTACTGCTGCATTCGGCTAAATTCCTTCGCGCGCGGCGTTCCTCTTGACGCGACGCGACAATTTCGATCCCACTGCACCACATCACCCTTTTTACGTCAAAATGGAGGGTTCTAGAACGATTAACTGAGTCCGCCACTTATGTTAGGTTGTTTTTTCGCCCATGTGCTGGTCACCTACTCCAGTCGATGTTTCCTATGCCCAAGGGAGCCAAAGGAGAGTATGTATGTCGTAGTAAGGTATCAGCAAAGTAATACATGTTCTCAATAGCAGATTTTGTTCTCATTCACACAGGCAGCGGTCGACAGTAACAGGACCTCATAGGGCATGAGGTAGTAGCGAGTTGAGGGATGCACCAGTCACCCGATCGGCTGTAAAATGTGCAACAAAAAACGAGTCCCATCTCAGGCAGCGCAGTAATTTGGCTCGCACCTCTTGCCAGTGATCAGTATTTGGACTGAGAGGTCGGGGGCGAACGTTTGGGAGAAAAGGTCTTATAGATTAGAACGGAAATACTTTAAAACGTCTCCTTCTCCGATGAATCAGTTCGTCTTTATTTTGTTAGGGAGCCTTTCAATACAAGCCCTTTCTGAGAGCACACTTGCGCTGTACTGGCGACAGTCCACCGTTGGTGCATCGGAATTCGGATGCTCGGGCTCCCAGCGGTAGCCTCTTGTCGCTACTTTGGCAGGAGTAAAGAAGATTGTTTTATTTCTCGGAATAGTTCACAAGAAAAGCATCACCTTCATATTCTTCTTGTAGGCCGAATGTCTCTTTGCTCGGCGAGGTTGTTAGGTCAGACTTCCGTGGAATTTACAACTACACACGAGCCAAGCGGACTGAAACTCCAATTCTGCGATTTGATGCGCCTGTAATCTTTACCAACGTGCAAGTACTAAAAGAATATATAAGAAAAACAATCAAGCTTGAACCAGGTAAGGTTATTTGGGAATATCTTGAATAGTATCTAACTAAATATCTGTTTTGCATTTACAACCATTCGGCAGTGTCAGACCTACATCATCGAATTCTAAAAACTCTGAAAATATTTTTTTGGGGCTGTTATCCCAGTAACAGCTCATTTCAGATTCCAATGAGAAGAAAAATGATGAGAGTATGGCAATGGGACCTAACTGGAAGGCGATCATATTGGATTGCCGGGCCTGGACCTATACGGACGCAATGGGTGTAGAGGCAATGAAAGAGGTGAAAGCTCATTATTTTCTACTGCACATACCTACCCTTCAGAAATAGTTTCTCAAATCAGAGATCATCNTTTAGATAGTTAGGGCAGAAGGGAATGTGTGAGACGAATTGAAATTCCTGTAAAATTTGACGCAAAAGAAGGGCATCCTCACTTATAATTGACCAAGCACTTCTTCTGGGGTAACTTCTCTGGAAGGGTCCTCCTTAGGGAGGCACTGGGAGTCCGCGGCCTTCGAGATCCACCTAGAAAATATATTTTCGAAGAGAAACCCCAGGTAGTCCTTACATTTGCATCTACAGGGCTTGTTCCTGAAGCAATGGGACTCCTCTTCCACTACCCCATCCCTTCACCCCTTCCCTCTCCACATCGATCCTGAGCACCTTTCACATCTTTTTCTCTAAAGTGTTGCAATTCAAATTTATTCAGTTGAACGATGAACTCCGCTCCAAACAAGTATTTCTGATACTGGCCAATATGAAAAGTAAGTTTCCCCTTTTGATAGGGTTATTTTCGATGAAACGAATGATCCGGTTTCAGGTTGCCTTCGGCTCCAATACGCCTATGCTGGACTGTATAGGACGTTCCGTTAGTTTTATTCGCTNATCACCGATGCCCTGACGATAGCTGCTAGAATTCGAACGAACTCGGAAGCATTCTTCAAGGCTGACAAGGATGACCTCGTTGGCGTCAAGTAGTACCGATGCCTTCCAGAGCCCCTTCATATTAGCAGAAAGGGTCGAGAAGTTGAGACTTTGAGGTTTTCTCCGAAAGGTAAAGCTCTCTCCAGAATTTCCAAAGACTTTTGAGCCAATGCAACGTTAAGGACCATCCAAGGTTTGTGTTCGAGTGCTGCCCGAAGAATACCCATGGTACCACTCATTTTAAGTAGTAAAAGTAGTAAATTTTTGTTATTTCCAACGGATTTATGAGTAGAAACTGGATTTCTTGGAGAGCTACCATTGGAGAAAACTTCTCATCGTCATTCTTTGACCTGCCAAGGTGCCTAAGGGCTTTTTCATGATTAAAGTATATCAGACAATATCAGTCAAATGTATTGTTGGATATCATAGGTGGTCTTCCTAGTATTACTATGAACTTATAACGTGAAAAAGCACTGTAATACTGCCCCACATGGCCTAAATTCTCAGATGGCTCAGTTGTCATATTTTTAGTACCAGCGTATTGATTAGATACGAGTTTTCGCGCGTAGCGCCGTTTTTTTTCACAGACTTTCAAATATTTGAGCCTTTTCATCATGGGTGTTCCCTGCTTTGTGTTCAATAATATCTGTTTACGAGTATTCCAGGAGTAATGTATTAGGTCCATTTCATCAACATCTCTTATCTATGTTTATTTATCACCATCATTATATCATTGTCATTATATTTTTGTTTCACGGACGGAGTAGCAAGTGGCGCACTATCTCACACGCACGGTTGCGGGATCGAGGCCTAGATCGATTCTTCTTAGGCCAACCAGGTTTTCCTTCTCTCCGGGCTCGGTTAAGTGGTTCCAGACCCGTCCGGGAGGATAAAAGCACTGACTTGTTCATTGACTGGTCAGGGCAAGTCATTGTATAGGCGAAATACTCATCCAAACGCTACTACGATTCAGAATGGGTGTCGAGTGCCTGGGCGCATTCCAGAAAAGGGACTGAATGACGCCTATGACCATGTTATTTATGGTTATTATTATTATTGCTCTACGAGTATCTTTTTCGCCTTGCTCTCGGCCTTTGTCAGCCTATATTTCTGAATGTGGAACCCTGTAGCTTCTCGGAAAAATGGAAACGGAACTCGGAAAACGGAATGGGTATGTCTGGGGCATTAGTTCACCTTGGCAATGAATAGATAAGCGTTATTATTGTGAAGTTATACAGCCTTTCCAGCAAATTCCCTACAAGGACGGACCATACAAATGTTTCCGAGATACGGCAAGGAAGGCGGAAATCGGAACACTATCCCGCCTTTCTTAGAGATCCTTATATCCCAGCCGATTGAGCGGCTTTTAGGAGATCCACTAGATCTTATGAGTCCTGCAGTATAGCATTTTCTTCATTTGTACCCGAAACTTCGATGAAATCCTTTTTTTTTCCTCATATTATTCATCAGTCCTCATTCCTCACAACCCCCTTTACCATCATTTTTTTTACTATACTCGCCCTTCAATCATTTAATTCAACTATCTCAGGAATGTT